CCCCGAGTGGGGAGATGGCCACGATCGCAGTTCCATTCGTACAGGGAAGGCATGTGTGATCAGAGGCGCGCAGCTGCAGGAAAGACGGGAGCAGCAAAGCAGAGCCGCGGGGGAGATGGCCGAGCTTCCGCCTGTCTTTCCTGCAGGCGCACACCTCTGATCAGGCACGCCTTCCCTGCACAAACGGAACTGCGATCGCGCCCATCTCTCCCTCCCCCAGTGCACCCGCGATCACGCCCATCTCTCCCCCCCACCCCCTAGTGTGCCGGGATGATGGGCGCGTGCAGGGATGACAGGCGCAATCTCGGTCATGCTGGGGGGGGGCGGGGAGATGGCCGCGCTTGTGTTTGGGTGGGGGTGGGGGGGGAGATGGCCACGATCTTTGTTGTTGTCAGTTTGCTTCACATTTTTCCAATTTAAAAAATGGTTCCAGAACGGATTAACCTTATTTACATTGAACCTTATGGGGAAATTTACTTGGCACAGGACCAATTTGGGTCACGACCAGAGTCCTGGAACGGATTAAGTTCATGAGCCAAGGTACCACTGTACTAGACCAGAGGATGGAGGGATATGCTGGTGTCTTGGCTGTGAGACAGCACAGAAGTTGAGGGCAGCCCCACAGCATGTGCCATGGAATACATCTCATATTCTGTCAACTTGCAGGGATTTCAAGGCAGATGAGAATGAGTTTCTCAGCAACCAAATGAAAATGAAAGAGATTCTTTGAAGGCAGGAAGCTTGAAAACCATTGTACTAGAAAATGCTTTCATGGTCCAAATTTATTAATTGAAATAACACAAATGAATGCACACAAAAATTCTTGAGATTCTGTTCAGTAAGTCAGAAACAGCAATCTGTGTACTTTTTTCAATCTTTCTTGCAGGGGACATCTTGGAAGCTGTATAAATATGCACAGCTGCATTTTTTCCTCAGGAAGAAGTACATGGCACTTATAGCCTTCAGATATATTGTAATGTAATTCTCATTATCCCTATCCTACATAGCTAATGTACTGGGATTATGAAAGCTGTAGCTCAAAATATTTAGAAAGCACCCATTTACCTATCTCTTGAATATATGGATCCTACAGGAACAAAGGCACTTCATATTATATTATTTTGTCACATTTATCAAGCTACAAGGCAATGTTACCGCCCAACCTCAGGCATGATGCCTCAGAATTCAACGGATTTGTTGAATAATTCTGCAGATACACACTAATGTCAATGGACAAAGCTCCCGATAAACAAGCATTGGATTATAGCCTCAATCCTAAATAGCTGTGGATGAGAATACTAACTTTCACATTCGGTGAACGAATCAGTAACTGCACAATTAAACTAAATAAACACAAAGTCCAGCCTCACAATCTTTTCCCTCTGCTGCAGCTTTTTCTCCCTCGGTATCCTTCAGTGTTAGGACATTCCAGGCCACCCCACCCAATGGCCATGACGGCAGGGGCCTGATGGGAACTGTAGTCGAACAGGTCGCCTCAGAGGCAACCTGGGAGACGCAGACTAAGCTCTCCTGCAGGGAAGGGATACCCGTTCGCATGCCAGGACCTCCTCCGCCGCCGCCTCACCTGCTGCCTCCAGAGCCCGCCAGGCTGCAGGAAGCGCTCCCAGAAAGCTTCCACCAGCCCAGGCTTGCGCAGCGGGAGGACCGGCTCACGCGGGCTCAGCTCCTGGTCCTTGAGCCAGCGGCGCCGGAGCTCGCGCAGCTGCTGCAGCCGGAGCTTCTCGTCCGGCGTGTAGCCCAGCACGGCTCTGGGCGCCTCGCCGCGCTGCAGCTCCGAGCCCTTCGACATCTTCGGGGCCCTGCGCGGACTCCCACCGGCCCCGCCTCCCTTCAGGGAACGCGACCTTGCCCGCGAGGCCGGACGCGAACAGCGAGCGGGCGGGAAATGACGCCAAGTCCGCGCACGGCCCCAAGTCCGTAGAGATAGGAAAAGGAAAACGAAGAGGTGCGTCGTGCGCACGTCCTGCGAAAGTCTTATTCCGGGTTGTTTTTGTTTTTTTCATATAACAGTCGGCACAGGAATATTTTTTCCCTCTCTGCACTTTTAAAATCTAATTTTAAATGCCTTTCTAAGTGTGTTGTTGTGTTTGAGGACGCAGAGTTGCGGAATGCTAGACATCTTGCAATCCCTATACGCTTTGCATATAGAAAACACGGGAAAGTTAAGAAAACTCACTTTTCAGCATCGGGAAAAGAAGTCGTCCGTTTCGTCCAGCCTCGCCCGACCGAGATTTTTGCAAATGTGTTAAGTCTACAGCTCCTATCATTCCCCTGCATGCATGCCTAAGTGGGGTATATCGAAAGTTGACGACCAGCACGTCGGAAGGCTTCACGTTAGGGAAGGATGGTTTAGTTATTAGTAGAAATATCACCACCTCCTGGTAAAAAGTGGATACAGACCAAATATGCGCCAAACTGTACGTACCATAAAGTACAGTTGGAATAACGTTTTCTTCTATAGGACATCTTAAATAATCAGGGGAGAAGGGATTTTTAAGCGAATTTGTTTCGTTGCAGAAAGCAGGCAAGCAGCACCTAACTCAGCCAGTTCAAAGACAGAGCTTCTAGTTCTTGTGTATCTGGAATCTGCAGCACGTCCTCCCTGTCTTGATTCTTTGCTCATTCACCTTGCTATTTTTATGGGATTTTAAAGAAAGACTTACAGCTCCCAGTATATAGCCTCTAACCCCCTCCCCCATCCTAAACTTGCATAGGATTGCACTCTTAATATTTTGTGTAAGGCACCTTGTGAGCCTTTTTGCTAGTATAATTGAAAAGCAATATTGAAAATATCTGTTGTATAATCAACAAATTAATATGTATCTTTACCAGAGGAAGGAAGCTTCCATGGCATTGATACATAAAAAGACACAAAACCTTCTTCTTTGATAAAGGTTTGTGCTATTGATTCTGTGTTCTAGGGTTCCTCAGAAGCTTATCAAAGATTCCTTGATCAGAAAGTTAGTAACAGCACACAAGGTCTCTAAAACGTAGCTTTCGCACAGCTTCTAATCCTCACCTGCAATGTGCATCCATGGGGGACAGGGTGGGTTAGGTGTGTTCAAACTAAGCCACGCACAGGTGTACTTTGTGAAAAGATAATGTACTTTGTGATCCACAGAAGTTCTTTGGGAAGGCCAAACAACATGGGAGTGTTTCCTGAAGGCAGAATGTTTGAAAGCCATTGTTCTGTTAAAGAGTGAGTCAAAATGTTAAGGTGTTGATCATAGGAGATGCCTGGACATTACTGTTCTAATATACGGAATGGGTTCCACTAAACCTAGTGTATATCTGGAGAACATTTCTTTCCCAAAAGGAGAACTTCTTACCTATACAGACAGAAAGTGTCTGGGAAAAGTGGATAATCGCTGCTCATCAGCTTCCCTTCTACACATGTTGCTCATGTTGGTGTGGAAGGAAGACTAAGATGTGATTTCTTTCCTAAGCGAGCAGCAGCTCAAGTTCAAAGCCAGATGACTGGTGATGGTCATATTATACATGTGCAGGCTGCAACAGTTTCGTGTTAGCAAAAGAGTTTCTGTTTACATCTGTGCCTCCACTTAGTTTCAATCTGTATACACTAAATAATCAGTAGGAGTACAGGACCCCTTTAAGTCTCTAGGAATCTCCTACCAAAGGAAAGCCAGCCAGGCTAAGAGCTGTATCCTGGAATGGCTAGCATTAGGGAGGGGCCGCTCAATTAATAATTATCGTTATTTGTTTTTTGGCACCAGGCTAAGACCTTTTTATTTAAAACTTATTTTAATTGTTTATTTATTTATTTATTTATTTAGGGTTTGTTTGCTTTTGTTTTAGCCAAGAATGCACTGAGGTTTTAATGAGGTTTTATGGCATGGTGGTTTTATTACATTGTGGTTTTATTGTATAGTTAATGTTTGATGTTGTGAGCCGCCCCGAGGCTTATTGCGATGGGGTGGCATAGAAATGTTTTAAATAAATAAATAAATAAATAATAAATACCCATAGCCAAGAAAAGGACAGTCTGAGAATGGCCTATACCATTGCCTGGAAGAATGCATTGGATCTCTGAGTGCACTTCTTAGATTCTGCAGGGAAGGTGGCAGCAGAGTTTCTGTGTAATCCTAGTCCTCCTACACATAATACAGTTCTAATGTGTTCCCTCCTGCACCCCTACAACAATAAAACAACTTCTTCAGTTATGTTGTGCTCATCTATGTTTTTGCCACCCTCACTCTTAACCTGCAGCAACCCACCTGGTGTGCTCCAGATGTTTCAAGCCAAAACTCGCCCCTGAGTGTTGGCCTGGGGCTGATATGAATTTGTCCTCAAAAACATCTGGAGAGCCCTTTACGGACTATCTTCTACATAGTCCGTAAACATGGCTGCGCCCCAGGAATGCTAGCTGATGTGCTATTGTTCACAGGAGGCAGGGTGTTGGGGCTTCCAAGGTTTATTCGAAAAACAAACACACCAGCAGGGATAGCAGATACATAAAATTGTGCTGGTAGTGTTATTGGTTTGGGTGTACAAATTATTGGGGATACATTTGACATGGAGGCAATTACTTAACTCCCACTCAGCTCACCTGAAAGAGGAACATTCCAGAACCCAGAAAGCATGTGTGAACAGTAACTGCTAGAATGATGACTTTGTACAAGGCTATATTGTTTGAGTCAGAGAGGGATTTTTTTTAGATCTACTGCACTGGCATCTACACACTTCAGTTGGGATAGAAATCTTTATTTCATTAGCTACTTTCATCTCTTTTTTTCCCACAGAGGACTGGTATGGATCAAAAATATTCACACAACTAAAATCAATTTTCTAATATCATGACTTTGCATTGATCTAGTGAAATTCCTTCTGCTACACTTCTCTTCATCTATTTTTTTGGATAGGCCGTAGAGGAGGTCTACATTTGATCAAGGTCTGCAAAACTCTAAACATCTGGGCATACTTATGATTCCTCTGCCTCCAAACTTCCCTCCCCACCCTCCCCTAGGACAAATTAGGTCAAGCCTCATGTGCTCTTTACAGTTTGCTCAGTAGGATGGAGATTCATATTCTTGCTTTCCTTTATTCATCTTGCAAGACTTTCACCCCCTGCCTTCATCCAAAGAACGCAAGTAGTTGACCATCTTCCCATGCACCCTGACTCGATAAATGCAGGTGAACTTTGCGTTGCCCCAATTGCTCTGCACCTTGAACTTTATATACAGAAACTGGTTTGCATGTTCATTCTGAAATGTAGAGTGGGAAGAACAAAAATTAAACCCTGCATCACATCTCTGTGCTTCGCTAACAGTGTGGTCATAACCCTCAGTTCTTTTGGCAGATTAAATGCCACTGCTCAACAGAAATGCTTAGCAATCACCTATACCTCCTCCTTTCTCCAGCTCTTTCCAGCTTCCCATACATATCTACAGTAAAGGTAAGGTAAAACTATTTTTAGAGTTCTGATCTAAATCGTTGTTTGCAACCAGGATTATCATCCACAGTTGCACATCATGTGATCAGTTCAAAACTGCAATCTCTGTAAAGCAAGTTAAAATAAACGGAATCACTGATACATCACTAGGAACCTAACTGTGCTATGGGGCCCTTCAGTGACTTAAAGTTTCCCTGTGAAGATCATGGGGTACATACCCCAAAACTCTGAGCCACTAGATCTCATCCCAAAGCCAGGGATGGAGATCCTGTGGTCCTCCAGATAGTATTTCATTCCAATTCCCATTAACACCAATCTGCATGCCAAATTGTCAGGGGAAACATTCAGAGGGCCACAGGTTCCCTATCCTTGCCATACTATTTTGAAAACACAATGTTGAATTAAAACAGGTCTCTGAATACTAGAAAGGTAGAGGAGCAACCTGGCCTTTTACTTGAAGAGTCATGCCTAATATCTCTCTTAAAAAAATCACAAATGGCTTTTGCCAGCCTTTCTACCCCAGTGCCCTCATTCTCAGGGTACCTTCAGCTGGAATGTCTGAATGGGTTCCTTCTCGATGTCATACATGAATGTCCCCAGAAGAGTTTCTTCTTCTGTTCCATTGTTTAGGCCCTAGAGTTGTAAGGGATTTAGAGATAGCCAGAACTGGTGAATGTCCTTTGCGATTTCAACCCAAGGATGGACAACTGCACAAAAAGACAGCCTGGGAACCAATTCTTTAAGCAATGCAAAAGGTCAGTGTAGAAGCAGAGTCAATTTCAGACATGGAATGGGTCTAGCCCAGTGAGCCCAATGAAAGCAGACTGGTGTAAAGAAGTGAGAACAGAGGGCAGGTAGTTATGTAGGCTGATGGCTTGGCAAACAGGCAGACCAGAGAATGGACAGGCAGCCAGAACTGGTCAACACGTAGAGAGAGCCACCTCGACTAGACCAAAGTCTGAGAGGCGCCCAGTCAAAGAACACTGCCTGGTCAGTATTCATGGTCTGTTTATAGTATTAATGGAGGAAGGGAGGAATTGCAGGGTGTGAGGCTGCCCCTTACTTCCCCAAATTAGAGCTTTTCGAGTGAACCTTAAAGGAACAATTATACAAGTGAGTTACAAGTGAATACTCGCATAAATCAAGAAGTCCTTCAAGGCACTGGTGACCCATCCTTCAGGAGCGATTGCTTTGGAGATGTGCTGAACTGTAATGGCTGTTGGTTGGATTTTTTCAGGCAATTTAACTACTACTTGGCCTTCAGATCCTTGGAAGGACCAGCAGTTTCCAGGGTAAACATCTGGCTAGAAACAGGGAACAAGTCAAGTGAATCAGATGTAATTCCACGGCTCAGACACAGCTGCAATTCACATTAAATTGACTTCCTTGAGTTTTGTGCAGACACCCATTTGTGATTGCCCAGCTTTCTGATCAGACATATTGTAGAACTGTTGTAGGCAAACACTCCTTTTCGCTTGGCAAGATGAATGACTGGCCTACCAAGTGCTCAGCCCCCCCCCCCACGCCCCAAGTAAATGGCGGTTTAAGAAATATGTCAAAGAAACATAAGCCGACAAACGTTTGTGAGTAACTGTATGTTCTTCTTCTTCTGTCCTCCTCATGAAACACCCACACCCAAACTTCTACCTGGAATTAAATGGAAAGGTGCAGTATCCCTGTTCAGGCCTTCTGTCTCTGCAGCCAGTAAAGGTGTGAGGAGTGGAGCACTCCAGCCCTGCTCACCTGCTTTGCCTCCACAATACAGGTCCATGGAAAGCCGCCAAAGGAGGGGTGGCTGGGCCTGGCACGTTCTCCCACCTTACATGTTTACTGAACATGGCTATGAATGATGCCTCATTATGCAAAGGTAGGAGCACACCTGGAAGCATCCTTTTTGCTTTGTATGTGTCCATTTAAACGTTAACAGTAATAATGGTGGTGCCGATTACGACAACAGAAGGGGACCCAAGCTTCGGCTACCATCTTCCTGCACTGCCAACAGGCCCCGTCCTCCTGTCACTGAGAAATCGCAAAGGAGGGCTTTGCTTTTCGAACGTCCCATTTCCCGGGAGAAGGCAGAAGGGATCGGGTGTTTGGCTTCCCTCCTTCCCCGCTTCAACAGAAGCCTAGTGCACTGTGGTTGGGCGTGAGACTTGTCTGCCTCCCGCCTTTCCTGTGCGTCTTGAGTACCCAAGTGCTGTGTTCCTCTCTTCCGTACAGTCAACACTCTCTGTGCACTGCATTGTCAGAAAAGATTTCTCAAGTCAAGGGAAGGAAAGGAAGGTAGGTCATGGCTGAGTGGGAACTCCTGTCCAACCTCATCATGCTGCAGTGCCACCTATGAAAATGGATGTGATTATATCTAACTCCCATAAATAGCCTGTGATCATCTGAGGCATAGTTTGGACTGAAACTAGCTTGTATGGGTGATATGATGCAGATGGTGTCACTCGAAATAGTTACAGTACAATTCTACAGTACCTGTAGAATAGTATCAGGGGGCTTTGCTGAAGACATGAACGAAGATATGAACCAGCAGATATGCCAGTTCTTGGGATCATAACTTTTCGATGTCCTGTCCTTATCAATGGTGGCTCCTACAGTAAGCAACAATGGCAAGGTTAATTAACCAGCAAGACAAAATAACGTTTTCCAGCAGGTCTGTGCACTGCTGTCCATGCCAGTTGCTCAGGACTGGATCAATTTCTCAGGGAGTTCACTGCTGAACATAAGGTCAAGAAAGCAGGTGGCTCATTTCTTGCGAAGGCTAAGACAGCAGCCGTTGCTCAAGAGCACAGCCGGCCCTCCTCCCCCTGCCTGCACAGGGATCCATCCATGCTTCAGTGGAGGATGCAGCAGAAGCCGCTGGGCCAAAATCCTCCTCTTTTATGCCTCTCCACACCCATTCACCCTGGTGCTTCTAGAGTTACTGGGAGCGGGAGAAGAACACAGCAGAGGCACAGGGCTTCAGGAGGCTGCTGTAAAGCAGGCCTGTATGTAGGGGAGCCGTGGGTCCTTCCAGACATAAATGGGGGGGCGTGCTTTCAAGCCATGTGGCTTGTTTTGACCTCCAGGGGAAAGGAACCCTTTGTTTTATTCTGGAGACCACTAGAAACTGAGAAGGGCTTTGAATATGTGATGCCTCCTAAAACTATCCAGCAACCTCTCTGATTAGGATAACAGGCCTAAAGAGCTGTTGATGAGAATAACAGAGAGCCCAACTGCACATTACTTCAAAAAAATGCATGTCTTGCTAACTAGGTGCTGGAGAAATCTCAATTTCTTGTTGTTAAAAGATTAATAGACCCAGATCTTCAATATTTGAGAACTGCTGCTAGTAAAACTTGATCCTCTCTTAACTGCAATAATTGCTATAATAATAGATTTACTCTTCCTCCATGTCTGCACACACTAACTATCCCAAAGTACAGAAAAGCATTTACTTTTGCTCATTTTAATGTGCTTCCATCAGCACTATTAAAAGGACAATTTAATAAGACCCCAGTCAATGAATGGGTTTGTTCCTGTGGTGCTGGAACAGCAGAAACTGTGGAACATATTCTCTTATATTGCAGCTTTTATATGGAATGCAGAGAGAAACTGATTAAGCCATTAATAAAAGATCTTTATGGGAATAAGTCTTCCACTCTGGTATCTATGTGTTTAAGGGATGCAGCCTCTTATGTTAGTGGAAATGTTGCCAAAAATTTTATGACTGCAGTGCAGATTTAGGACAAATGTAGCCAACCATTTAAATGAAAAATTGTATAAACGCTACTTGTTCTAATTGTGTTTTAATTTTTCTACTGCTATTTTATCCGGGGAGTTTTTAAAAATCTTCCTGGACTGTGACCATACAAGAAAAACAATATCTATAACAGATGCGTGCTCCCAAGCCCACATTTACCAAGCTGATGCGAATTAAATGCAAACGGGGAAAGGTGGGCTTATAAAGAAGATCCACCAAGAAAGAGCAGCACTTGTGGAAATGCCCTCACCTGTGGCCTCAAGGCTTCCCTGCAAGTTCAGGAAGGGACACAAAATGGCAGACATCAGCCAGAAGAGGAACTCTAAGCACCTCCCTCCTTTTCACGACAAATTTTTTGGCTAATCTCTCTTCCTGGTTGCCTGCATGTTAGTGTTATAGGCTAACAGACAAGACTCTAGTGTAAGTTGTTCCATATGACTCAAACTACACTCACAATCCAGTATATTGGACTAAATGTGTTATGAAGTAAAAAACCTCTGGTTTTTGGATTGCAAATATAGTTTGAGCCATGTGAAGCAACTACCACCACAATCCTACATGTTTACTCAGAAGTAAGTTTGGTTTATTCAGATATTTCCTCTTCTAAGAAAGTACATAGGATAGCCACTTCAGTGGGTTACATAAGGGAGAAGGAAGGAAGGAAGGAATAGGTAGAGCACCATAATTATTCTGGTACAGCATAACAGCAGATAATAGTGTATCATTACCTATTGTTTTTTGAGCCCAATCAGCCATTTGTACATGATCCTCATAAATCTTCTTAAAAGCCTGGTTGATCATTACAAGTAATTGCTGTGAAGGATCGAAAAAATCCATCAGATGAATCCAAGGAAATTATTATTCTTATAAAAATTATGACATACCTTCTGAGGTAGGAATTTTGAATGCTCCAAGGGCTTTAAGAAGCAGAATGTAAGGCATTTCCTGTAACAGCTTCATGAGTATGACCCATCGGGGCTGAGGTGCTTAGGACCAATCAGATCTGATAAGTCCAGCAGAGACATGGTCCTATTTCCATGTTTGCTAAGATAGCAAGAAATGTGACGGTAGGAACACCATTCCTGAAGTTGGATGGGAGGAATGGGTGCATGTTAACTGGTTTCTGATCATGGCTGATGGTGAGGAAATTGCTGATACCCTAAGACTTCCAATGCCTGAATGCCTGGGTCAAATGCTCGGAAAGCTAATGTATATCCTTTAACAGCCAGGCTCGAGCTGTGGTTGCTGCCCTCTTAGTTCATCTTGGAACTGCTGCCCAGCTGGTCCCCTTCGAGTCTTCCAGGCCACTTAGAGGCACATATTTCATTTAAAGGCCTTCTGGATCCAAACATATGAAGTAGCCTACGGATGTAAGCTTATTTTTTGAACTGACCACAGTCCATTGTATGTTCACTTCCAAGACAAAGACTAGAGATACTAGATATGGGAGGCCCAGGCGAATAGGGCTGGAGCGGGCAGTGGGGCTGGGAGCGGGATGAGGGCCACAGCACTGCTGCCAGGAAGAGCATCGCTATTAGGGGGCAGCAGGGGGGAGGCGAGTTACCACTGCTGCAGTGCAGATCCTCCTGGCCATCCGTGCAAGTCATCGAACAAAAAGTATTTTGCTCTGCTCATCGACCATAGCATTTGGCAGTATAAAGTATTATCTCACCCACTGTGAAGGAAGAAAACTGGGTAGGATCAAGTGCATGCTCCATTGCCAATGTTACACTTTGTGGCATTGCAGCAGTAGTGCCAAACATCTGGGGAAATTGTTTCCCAACTGTACTTCAGAGAACTCTACAAGCTTCAGAAGCTTAGGAGGAATTTCTGCATAGAAGATGCTGGTTATGCTTTCCTGAAGCGCAACTTGACTGGCACTATTTATTTTCCCCTGCAAAACACAACTGCAGGGGAGCTCTGCGTATCTCTTAGGGCTGGGATGGGCAAAAGGCCAGCTTCCAGAATGCTGCCTGGTGCCAGCTCACTGCTCTGATGGTTGCAAAGTTTACTGGACTTTAATCTGAACCAGGAAATAACTTCTTATGTTCTTAAGCAAGAGTGCATACCCAGGATCATGAAACACCATCTAGAATTTATGCCTTAACTGTTCAAACTATATGCTCTTGCTTTATCAATTTATGACACATGAAAGGAAGGAAGCACGGATGGACAGAAGACGACAACCATACACCATGCAAGCTTAAAGCCAAACTTATCTCTGTCCTAGGGTGCTTTCTCAGTTCCCCTAAAGTGACAGTGACCAGTGTTGCCCAGCCGGCTGACCAGTTCCCTGCATCAGATTAGTGTAGAATGACCTGGAATACTTCCCAGAATCCTTTGTATAGGCAACCCTTCCTTAATGCAGGAGGTTTTCTCTGAAGGTAAAATGTATGAAAGCCACTGACCTCTGATGTTGAGCTGAAATGGGTTTTTTAAAAAAATAGTCCTGATGGACAGTGGAAAGGAAGGATTTCATCAAACCTAAATCTACCTCTTCGATGTTTTAAAAAGGCAGCAGTTTACATATAAGCAACACAAACTTGTAAGGGGATATGATACTGAAATTAGGAATGAATGAGGTGTAGAGGGCTCTTCAGCTCCTTACATCTTTGTTCTCTCCGGGGATGTTGCTCTCCTCAAGAATTTGCTTTACAGAAAGCAGGAATCCTTCATTGATGTCACTGATCTTGGTACGCAGGCGATCCACCTCTTTCTTAAGGCCTTGGATTTCGTGGATTTGTTCCTCAAGCAGACTCTGAGACTTCCTTGGGATGAAAAATGTGGAAAAGGAAAGGGGGAAAACAATTAAAAATGGGGGGAGGGATTGCCTGTGCAGGACACAGTGACCCAATCTGCAGCGAGTCAACAATCATAGAATAGAAATTTTACAAATGTCTGAACGCAAAGGCTTATACAGATGATCAAGGATCTGATTTAAACCTGAGGATAAATGTCATGGTCCAGAGTTGTTTCTGAAACTTTCATATGAAGCATGACATGGAATGCAATGTTATTATGGGTGAGTGAATCTGTCAACCTTGATTTCACTTGGGTACTCATTTTTCTTCTGCTAAATTCATGCAGTCCTATTTCCAGATTACAGTGTGATTTTTTTAGTCTGTATAAAAATTAATAATCTTTTGCACATTTTTTTCAAAATATAATCTTATTTCAATCATTTTCATTCATTTCTGCAAGGAATTTTCCCATTGACTAAAGTGTTTCAGGTAGATGCATGTTTTCTATGTCCTTCTCCAAATCTACACATTTCTTATAAGCATCCTTAATGCACTGCATTACAAGTTTCTGAAAAGTACAGATTTTGACATCCAATGTCAACTGATATGTACCATGTTTGTTTTTGGGAAGTACAAATCTTTGAAAGGAGTCTTGCTTTGAAAGGGGAACCAAACGAATTTCTCACTCAGTCCTAAACCCTATATGTGTACATTCAGAAGCAAGTCCAATGGGGCTTAATCTCAGGTGAGTGTGCGTATTGGTATTCCCCAAATTGGCGATTTCTGTGGCCTATACCGTCTGGGAATTATGGAAGCTACAGCTCAACACATCAGGAAGGTAACAGGATGTATGGGCTGATGTATAGGAGTGAAGCCTTAAACAATTGATCAAGGCTATACACAGAGAGACTGCATTGCTGTTGTCTCTACCCAGATGTACAGCTTAATTAGATCTTTATGCTGCATAAGACCCAGTGCCCATTCACTGGCAGCTTAGTGACGCATCCAGAAGCTGTAACAAGTAGTAACAGTCTGGCTAGCGGCGCTGGTGTTAAGATAGCTTTTCTATCTAAAACTTCCTCTTACCACAGCGATTTCAGATCATTTTCATACAGCTGTGCAAGCTCCTACAAAAGGAAAAACAAACAGGTGCTTCTCAACATGAGTAATTCCTAAGGGCCTTTCAGGACAAGCTATTCTCATTTTTAGGCAAGGTTGCCAGCTGGCCAGAATGATAAAAGCTGGTTGGACTCCTGTGCTATGGACCACTTCTCAGATTTGGAAAAGCCATTCTTACTTTTGGTTGGCACGTGTGAACTCCCTCATCATGGACGCTGAGGTGTCACTGGGCACACAACACTGTACTTGGAGTTTGAGATGAATCTTCAAACTCCAAGTACAGTTCAAGCTCTAGTACCTCAGTTGGACAGCTGACTACTACTTCACCCCTTGACACCTCTCAGCATCAACACACTCTTTGCGGTTCCATTGCAACTCGAGGCAGGCCAGCAGGATGGGCCCAGGAGACCAGACTTCATGGCACACTGATGGCGTAGGATGCATTCTTTTAAGAGTGCGACACAGGACAAAAAGACCTGCTGTACAGGCTTAGAGAGTCTTCACTCCATTCTGTTGTTCAGATTTTTTTTCTCTGTGGAGAAAGAAAATTCTGCACATGCTCAGAGATTGTTGTTGTTAGTCGCGAAGTTGTGTCCGACCCATCACAACCCCATGGACAACACTCCTCCAGGCCTTCCTGTCCTCCACCATCCCTGGAGTCCACTTAGGCTCACGCTGACTGCTTCAGTGACTCCATCCAGCCACCTCATCCTCTGCCGTCCCCTTCTTCTTTTGCCACCTATTGTTCCCAGCACTAGGCTCTTCTCCAGGGAGTCCTTCCTTCTCATTAGGTGGCCAAAGTATTTGAGTTTTATCTTCAGTATCTGGCCTTTTAAAGAGCAGCCAGGGTTGATCTCCTCTAGGTCTGACCGGTTTGATCGCCTTGCAGTCCAAGGGACTCACAGGAGTGTCCTCCAGCACCACAATTCAAAAGCCTCCATTCTTCGACACTCAGCCTTCCTTATGGTCCAGCTTTCACAGCCATACATTGCAACTGGGAAAACCATAGCCTTGACTATACGCACTTTTGTTGACAGGGTGATGTCTCTGCTTTTTAGTATGCTGTCTAGATTTGCCATAGCTTTCCTCCCAAGGAGAAAGTGTCTTTGAATTTCTTGGCTGCAGTCCCCATCTGCAGTGATCTTGGAGCCCAGGAAAATAAAATCTGTCACTACCTCCATTTCTTCCCCATCTATTTGCCAGGAAGTGA